ACAAATACAGGATCCTCATACGACGCAACAAGGAAGGAGATTTCATTTAATTGAAACTGACGCGGGGCTACATCACAATGCAAATGGACAAACACTACAGCAAATCTCCCCAACAAAGGGTGTTCACACTCTACGAATATAAAACCAGACGCTTCTACTGAGATAGACACAATCAGACTCGATGACCAGGCAAGTGCTAGACCACTGCCATTATTTGATGAACTATGTACACGATCCTCCGGGAAACCCAGATAACTAAACTGTTGGATTACGAATTCATCATCCCTCCTTGTTTCACTCAAACAAATCAGAAACGGAGACTCTTTCATCACGGCCTCTTTGAGAGCTGGAACTGTCAGGGGAGCCCCCAAACCCCTGCAATTCCATGCTAGGATGTTCATGGGGCAGGCTGGGACCGATTAGGGCCGGTTGCCTCCACCTCAGAGTTGCTGAACTCACTTGCCTGGGTCTGAAACTCCAGACGCTGCTTCTTTGCTGTTGGCTCACAAGCCTCGATCATTGGATAGGCTTGGCTATGTACCGGCTGCACCTGAAGGTTGGAGAAGCTCGCCGGGATTGTCGAGAGACAGAGCTGACCCAGCTGTGAAGTCATCCCCAGTTGAGCAGGAGGAGCCTGGCGGTTTCCCCCTTGCACGACAGCCAGAGCTGAATCCCCAGCCCGGGGAAGAACTGCTGCTGCAGAACCAGAACGGTTCCCACCCAGTGTCCATACATAGCGCTTGCGCCTCCGAGCCAATGTACCTTCATTCACTCGCGGTCCAAACTCCTTCGATAGCAGATCTTTGCCATACCGAGGGGCCTGACCCCCCAACTCCTCCTTTCGTGGGCAAAACCTGTTGATATGGCCAACTACTCCACAGAGGAAACAAAAATGGGGAAGAGATTCATATTTCACCTTAGCCTTGAACTGTCCCTTCGCAGGATCCTCGTGAGATGCCGTTACTTCATCCGGAAGAGGGAGATGAAGATCCAGCGTCACCTTCGCTCGGATAAAAAGCCCCCCAGAGGAAACCGATCGGTGGATGGTGGCTGGTTCCGACGGTCCGAGGGCAGCCCCCAGCATGCTTCCCAGGCGCTCGGTACAGCAGTAATAGGGTACCCCCCATATCTGCACCATCAAAGGGACTCGACGCATCTCTGCGGCCAACTCAGCAGTTGGAGAATCCCAATTCCTGGTTTGAATTAGGAACTTCTCGAAGATCCACGGCGACCCCGCTCGGATTCTCTGAGCAGTTGCAGCATTAGGGAAAACAAATTGCAGTAGATCCCACTCCACCACTGCCACCGAGAAATCGCACTTCCAGACACGCCCCGCAATCGACCGGAGCACCGATAACGCGGGGAGAGGGCCACAAAGTCGACCAATCAGGGTCTGGTCCAGCCGCTGAGCCCCCACCGCCACATCAGCATCGTTGAATTGCACAGCCGCCATGGGAACGAAAGGGGATTGTCTCCAAGCAAATATTGAATCGACTGCAGGAGAGTCGGGAATGGCAGAAGAAACAATCGTGAAGAGCCGAGAGGAGGAGAGGGTTCCTTTTATTCTATTGCCGGCGTGGATTGGCCGGAAACGGCGGGGCACGATGACGGTAACCGTCATCGCCATCGGCGCACTACGGCGCAAGCCCTACCAACTCGCCCGTCGTGGGGAGAGAGGAGGGAGAGTTTACTTTTTTTTTTTGTTTCGAATCAAACCGATATTTGGACGGTGTTAAAGAACTAGGCCAAAATTTAATTTGACCTTAAATTGGACTATTCGAAAAATGTCGGTCATTATACAATCGGCAATCGGGTAAATTGTAAGGTTGGACACTGAAATTACTAAAAAGAGTCACGTTTGGTCACTACAAATACTTAATTCCATTTGTGATCACTAAGATTAGTTAAACATTCCAAATTTGATCACTCTCCGTTATCTTCCGTTAGTCTCCGTTAACGGCGTCAATTTTTTGCTGACATGGCTAACAGAAATACTAAATCACCAAAATTTAATGTAAGAAAAAGTAAAATTCAACATGCCACATCACTAAATCTTCCAAGTCATAAGACCCAACTTTGCAAATCAAAACCACCAATTAAACCACCCAAACCCACGTCATTAAACCCACCAATTAAACCATCCCAACCGACCCAGTCTTTCGTTTCTCTCCAGAAGGTCCGACGTCGACCTAGAACTCGACCGCTGCCTCCGGGTAAGGATTCGCCACCACCACCCCACCTTCTTTCTTCTCCACATCTCACCCCGACCTCTCCAGATCAACTTACCACCACCATCTCTCTTCAATGGCGCCTGCAGGAGGAAGATGCAGAAATCGTTTGCCTCTTTTCAAGCTTCCGAGATGCAGCGGTGGAAGGACGGTGGGTGCTGCAATTCCGACTGCTCGCTCTTGACCTTATAACAAATCCTTCCAATTCCGACGACTTCTTAGCTAACTCAATGCCAGATGCAAACAGTCGTTCCAACAAATAGAAGAATTTTTCGCCGGAGTAGAGAACAATGGCCTTTGATCCCTGCTGATCTCTTGAGGAGAAGGAACGATCTCCACCGCCGCCGGAGATGGTGTTAAGAGGGAATGTATGGGGAAAAGGTTCTCAGGCCGTTGATGGCGACAACGAAGGATGGAGATGTAAGAGTGAAATTTGGGCTGGGATTGAAGCATCTTGGAAGGGTTGGTAGATCTGGAAGGGTGTCGGCGGTGGTTCAAATTTCTTCGTCGTCAGATTTCTTCTATGGCCGCGACGGTTCTGAGATCGAAGACTGTTTTCGCCATAAAAGTTTAAAGAACGAAATTAATTGTTGGCTACTGACTCACTATGACACAACTCCTAACAAAGGCCAAGTGTAACCAATGAAAGGGACTGCAGTATAGTGGCTCAAGTAATAAATATCGAATCCACGGGTCTCTAGAGTTACTATTACTCAACTTCAGTTCATTATCTAGCAAACCAGATTAAGATAGAACAACTAAAACTACTCTAGCAAACTACAATTAAAGTTAATCTAATTACAGGTTGGGAACTCACTTAGGTATGATTCGCCCTAGCCACTAGCCAGATTAATGATTGATGATCTCTAACATGTTTCACTTTCATTCACAATGCGGAGAATCCTTAACTAGACCTTGAGTCTCGACTAAAGGAACAAGGCCCTCTTAAGTCAATTGCCTAGAGGGACGTATCCTTCTCTAGAACAACCGATCAAGGCGTTCTGAACTAGACTCCCTCTATCCAAAGAGGTTCTCAATCGATACAAAGCAGTGAATCGACCCTCGACTAAAGCAATCTATCCAATACTATCAATCTATGGTGCTCTATTGACCTAATCATGTATTCGCTCTCATAGGATCAAAGCAGAATCAATAATCTCGACTAAAGCATAATTGAATCATGAAAACATGCATAGATTGAATATGAACTCTAGATTATCAAGTAGGAGTATTCATACAATCATCCAATCAAACAAACATAGCTAGGGTTACTCAAAACCTAAGTGAAGGGAAGTTACTCCATAGAGAAGAGAGAGACTGCCGTAAGAATCTTCAGATGGTCAGTCTTCAAGTCCGGGCTTGTTCCTCGAGCTTCCAAGGCGAAGAAATCCTCCAATTCCACTCCAAGAATGCCCTCAAATCGTCCTCTCTCTCTTTGGTTCGTCCCTTGGGTGTTTGGGATCCAAAACCCAGCTCTCCCCTGCAAAAACGCACAAAACAGGCTTTTAACAGCCTGCATCGCGACCCCCGGTCCAAATACCCGGTCGGGTATTTTTGGTTCACGACCGGGGGGCCTTCTGATGCTGTCAAAAATCCCCTATCAGATGGCCAAAATACCCGGTAGGGTATTATGGTCGGGTATTTTGCAGTTCCGGGTCCCCTATCTTTGATTCTTCGTTTCTCCCTCGTTCGGACTCCAAATCAGGTTTCGTTTGATCTCAGACGCTCGTAGTCTCGTCCTCTTTCTTCTCATGACAAGATTACATGATTATATGGTTACAAACTGAGGTAGAAATCCATTCTTCTTCAAGTCATACCCGAGTTTCTTCCCCCGAGTCGCCAATTGATCTCCGATTGACTTGAAACTTGTGCCTACGCTTCACTTTATGTGCTAGGACCTGAAATGTGACAAAGGAACACAACCTAGCGTAAAATAGGCCAAAGAAGCGATAATGCAAGGTTAAACGATCAAGAAACAAAGGGAAAACATGTGCAAATATCGAGTCATCAACTACTCCCCATTGTATAGTTCTTCCGATGACGAACTTGGGAAGGGTCAGGTCAAAGGTTAGGAGCGGTGATGAGTGCTACAGAAGAAAGAGATGGGAGAGAAAGGGAGAACAGGGTCGAGTTGAGTCAAAGTGGTCAGGTTGGGTCATTGGTGACATGGCAGGTTTAGCTGATTGTATGGATTAGGTTTTATATTTTTTCTCGTCCAAATTGGATGAATTATTCCTTCAGTTAGCCACGTCAGCAAAAAACTGACGCCGTTAACGGAGACTAACGGAAGATAACGGAGAGTGACCAAAGTTGAAATATTTAACTATTCTTAGTGACCATGAATGAAATTAAATATTTGTAGTGACCAAACATGAATCTTTTTAGTAATCCCAGTGACCAACCTTACAATTTACCCTTATACAATCCAAACCTTCATTTGACTTGAAATTTAATGACAAACGTATATCGATATCGTCAATTAGTGGTTTATCCAGTAACAGCCAGTTTTCAATAATTGATTAAACCGTAAACCTGCTAATAATAGATTATCAGTCCTACCCATGCTACACAAATAAAGTACTAGATAATCATGAATAAGAACTATATCTTGACACTTGGATCTCAATTCATCGAAAATTTAATACGTATTTAGAGTAAATAATGAACTATAACAGGATGGATGAGAAATTGATGTCGTTTCGAGACGAATTCTAGTAGTGTTGGTTGTGAAAATGCCTGAATTCCCTTAAACAGATATAGCGATTAATTGGTCTATAACACCCACTTTGTAGCCACTAGGCGCAAAGGGTTTTTCTTGTGCATCGCAACGCCAGGCTGCACATCCATGTCTAAATCCTCATTCTTCATTCCATCCGGCATTCCCCAATCGAAAGCGTAAAGCAGATTAGCCAGAGAGAGCTCCACATTTGCGAGCCCCATATGCATAGCGGGACACATCCTTCTTCCCGCTCCGAACGGTATCAGCTCAAAGTCTGCACCTTTCACATCAATCGATGAATTTTCCATGAACCTCTCCGGCCTAAACTCCTCCGGGTTTTCTCCCCAGGTTTCAGGATCCCTTCCGATCGCCCATATATTGACGTAGACTATAGTCTTGGCCGGTATTTCGTACCCGCCTAACCTACAATCCTCGGTTGATTCCCTTGGAACCAACAATGGAGCTGTGGGTTGCAGTCTCATTGACTCCTTGATCACAGCTTTGAGGTAGGCTAGTTGTTGCATGTCTTCTTCATTCACAAAACCTTTCTTCCCGATCAATTCCCTAACTTCTCTTTGAGCTTTCGCCATGACTCCAGGATTCTTGACCAAATATGTCATCGTCCAAATCACAGTGGCCGCGCTGGAGTCTGTTCCACCGACGAATATATTCTAAAAAAAAGAAGAAAAAATATGAGAGAGAAATTAAAAGCAAGGTAAACTATGTAAGCGGATTACGGATAGAGGATTACCATGAGAAGTGCTTTGATGTGGTCGAAAGTGAGTCGGATTTTGTAGGACGGGTCCTCCTTGATCTGAAGCAGAACATCAAGAATATCTTCGTCCTGCTCGGTTTTGGATCTATTTGGGTCGAGATGATGGTCGATGATCTCCTGATAGAAGGCATCGAACTCCTCGAAATTCTTTTCGAGGCGACGGTTGAGACCAGAGAGCCTGTCCACAAACCCGAGGAGAGGGAAATGGTCGGCGACAAAGAAGCTCGTGAACATAGCCTGAGTCTCATTCAAAAGCGACTGAAACCTCGCGACAGATCTCTCGTCATCGTAGCTCGTGCCGAACGCCACGCGACATATGATCGCGGTCGTGAGGGATCTCATTGCCTCCGACATGTCGAAAGGTCCTCGTCCAGACGACTCGGATATCCTGTCAATCAATTTAGACACCTCGCACTCTCTGATGGGACGAAAGCTCTGGACCCGGGGAAGGCTGAAGAGATGAACCACACATAACTTCCTCATCTCCCTGAAGTACTCGTTGTAGGGCGAGAATGCCAGGTCCCGGCCGCCGTAGGAGAGCTTCTGCGTGCCGATTGCGGTTGGCCGGCTGCAGAAGACGAGGTCCTGAGATTTCATCACCTGTTGGGCCATCTCGGCGGTGGAGGCGACGACGACACGGGCAGAAGCGAGCCTGAGGGAAGTCAAGGGGCCGTGTTTTTTGGAGAGCTGCCATAGATAGCGATGAGGGGCGGCGGGATCAAGCTGGAGCAGGTTTCCTATGAAGGGAAGACCGGTCGGGCCGGGTGGGAGACGAGCCTGGTTCGACCTAATTTTCTTGCGGTTGTGGACAAGGAAGGCTAGGATGAAGGGGAGAGCTAGGAGAATGTAGGTAATTAGTGATGGCGCCATGTTGGTTTTCTTGATCAAATTGGAAGCCAAGAGTGTTGAGATAGATGGATGCGAGATTAATATATAATAGTGTGTTTCGACAAAGCTGGTCCAAGCTCGGCCAGCTCGAACTAATTGTGAAACCAAACCAGAAAAAAAAAAAGAAAAGGGGTGTTAGGAGGACATCGTTGCAAAAAAAAAAAAAATTGACGTTAATCGTTTACCAAAACCGTTTTTCATTGGGTCGACTTTTACGCTAACAAAGACAGGAAAAGATAATAAAAATAAATAAATAAATCACTCTTTCAGTGGTGTGATGGCTAATTGGACGAGACAAAAGCCTGAGTTGGAAACCAGTCAGCTTCGGTTAAATATATTGAACTTCACTTGTCACCAGCAACTTGAAAACGTTTCTTATAATTATTTATAACATTATGATTATCATCGCAGGTGTATTTGGTGCCGACCAAGTATTGTTAATTGTCATGTAATTTGTTATAAATTCGTGTTATTTGTTAGAATAAAGCCGTCACAATTCGATTGTCTACGAATTACAAAGTAATTGAACTTGATTTATCATCCTAGCTCAATTTTCGTGATGCTTAAGTAGATTGTGCAAGAAACTGTTATAATCATATGTGAGACTGCTTACATTTCTCTTTGTGGATTCGGAGCAAGAGATGCAGTTTAGCACATACTTTAATACATTTGATTATCGATTCTTAATTTTGAAGTTTTCTAATCACATGATAGCAATATAATCAAAAGCACGTTTCTATATATAAGTATTTTGATGATCAAGAAGCTAAAATAGTAATTTTTTACGATTTTTAACTACACTAGCTATAAAAACTGCGTATAAAAGCGTTTACCTAGAAACGTAAAGTTAGATAACACCCAACCCCATCCCGCAACCACAAAAAATAGGTGTCGTAGCAGTGAACGCTTTTAACAACAGCGCCTCAGAATGTAATCAGTGAATGAATGGAATCAATAACAGTACTGATCTTATAGAAAATAGAATCACAGCAAATCTCCAAGCGCGGCGGCGCACCGAGCAGACAATCTAAATCAAAAGACTGCTTACAAAGTGTTTCTGATGAAAGTTTCAAAGTTGGTGTTTCCTTCCCAGATGAGGAAGCACATAAATTATAAGTTAATCACAATTGCCAGTTGCTACAACCCTTGTGTGCGTGCGATCACAGAGAGAATGAAACGAACTCCTAAACAAGGGTTCTTCCCGATCGATTCAATCGTACAACCCTTCTTGTTCCCAAACGTCCACCAGAAAATCCACCATTTCCTGACATTTTACAAACAGGAAGACCAAAAGGAAATGTAAAAAATTATCTCATTGGCCTGCTGAACTTGTTTTCAACGACGGTGGCCACCATTTTCATAACTTACAGCAAGTGGAACAGGATGGTGGAATGGCTTATTACTCCCGAGTAAGCTATCATAAGAAGCATTCCAACTGCCACATACATCATTGCTCGTGAGTCGGATTGAGAGCTTAAACAATCAACTCTAAAAGGACATGGAATCGGATATGAGTTTTGAAACAGATAAAAGTTGGATGGATGCAAGATCATGCCACTCTGCTTCAAGAAGATAATTTACATGTGAAACTTCTATATGATCAAAAGACCAGCAAAAAGAGTGTTTTTGACTTTAAATTAGGTTTCGAGGGAGTAGCAATGCTCTATAGAGTCATCATTTTCATAAAGATAAACTACACATCACCTTATTGTGGGCTCACGAGCTTGCGGTTTTGTTTTGCTCTGAGATAACTTATTTGCAAGCCATTGCTGCCTTGTCTGGTTCCATAGAAGGAGACCTGCAGCCAGCAAAAATAATCCATTTTCAATGTACTTAGCTACGCACTAACCTTCTAAGGACAACTTCAATAGCAGCCTTTTAAACAATTTTGGAGAAGGGAAGTCGAACAATGAAATAACATGTCAACCAAGATTATCAACAGACTCCCTACAGTAGGAGAAAAAAAAAAAAAAGGGCCAAACAAAAGCCAATGAAACGACCACGAAGAGAAGATGATTCTGCTGCATCTGCAGTTTAAATATATTGACCATGACTAGTGATAACTAGTAGAACTTGCCATGATTTACAAATTCAGAAGGGTTGCTTGAGCTGCCAGCATTACTGCAGGGATCGAGGGGCTGGTTTAGTGTGCTGATGGATGACATGCTTCTCTGTGATTGTATAGCACTGTTGTCCATTTCTGCTGCACTACTGCTCCAGAAATCGTCGGTTATGCTATATTTCTTTGCTATCCTTTCTTGAGGTCTTAAGCTCTTTGAATGCTCATTCACGGAAACAACGGTAGTGGGTTTAGCACAGCAACCAAAACAACCTCTGCTCTGTTACAAATCAGGTTTTACCACAAATATGATTAGAACCAAGTAACCCACAACTAAGTACTTCTCATTTCACAGCTAAATGATGATGATAACAATAAAACAGATGGAAAAGGCAAAATTTGAAAAGTTTTATAGAAATACATCACTGTGAAGAACAACTTAGTCTTTTCGACTATGCTTTTCCATTTGGAAACCAAACAAGGGGAAGGGATGCAATGTCCATTTGCCAGTAATTTATTTTAATGAGCCAGCTACGAAACAAATCAAATACATATACTCTAATAATATATGAAATTCATCACTGGCAGGAGACAGGAGTTAGAATTATCCTTCAAGCTACATGAATAATGAATTATTGACCTAAAATTTGAAGCCGGATTGGTGTGCAAACGTTGCAAATGGATATGCAAAATACAATGTCTTCTGTAAGCTTAAATCTATCAATTTTCCATGTGGTAGTACATGGAAATGGGAAACTAAGCACGCATACATCTATTCCATTACACAAACTTATCAGCATTCAATGCAAATAAAATCCGAGACCAGGAATAAGATTATAAATCCAGTAGCTGTTAGGGTGTGAACTCCCTGAACTATCAGTTCACAGGGAACTGGGGAATGCCATCAGCGATAATTTCTATCTCATATGTAAAAGGTAGGCCGATTCTAGAAACAAAACATTAATGAAGAAAGAGAAGAAAACAAACAAAGCTGAAAGCTTCTCACACTGAAAATACCCTTCCATTTACTCCTAAATCCTTCCATTCCCATGCGTGCCACAACACGGAAATATGCTCCAGAAAGCAATACAAAAGAACTGCAAGGTTTCCTCCCAACACATCTCTCAGTCTGGTTCAGGACACAACATGTAGAGAACATTACTTCCTACAACAAAAAAAGCTTCTGCCCGCAAGCAATCCCATTGGAGAATAGAATGTCCAAGTAGCTCATTCTTTCAAGGAAAGAAAGGGGCGACAAGAAAAGCCAATCTTTGTTTGTTCTTCTGTTCCCCACAAGTGAAGCTTTTACTTACAGACGAAGCAAAGAGTAGTAAAACAAAGATACCAAATCAAGCTGAGGCAGGCAAGCTTGATATACACAACGGTAACATTCATCCCTATCTGCTGAAAAGCCAGGTAAAGAGCCACATTTTATGCGAACTAAAGGACCAAAAGCTTCCGGGATATGCCTAAAAACTGGTCTCCAGATTAAAATCTAGATCGCAACCCCCCTTCTCACTAGCTTTGTACCAAACAAAAACAGTTGAAAGTAAAGAGGTGGATTTTCTCCACTGTTTCAGAGCTCTTGAACAGTATCTCATCTCATCTGGTCTCATCTTATTTAGAAGCAACAAAAGGAGAATCCAGAAAAGCTCACCCCATGCATGCAAAGAGATGGCAGATCCAAGGGGGAAACAACCTACAAAACTGCATTTACAGGCGCCACGCTGAAGATCTTAGCTGCAAATCACCAAGTCGAGGAAGGAGACTCCGAACAGACCTGAAAACAGAGGGATATCAAACTCTGATCCAAATTCGGAATCACTAAGGCGAAGATTCGAGGGGCAGAGATGCGTTAGAGAGAGATAGACAGGGCAGAGAGAGAGGGAGACCTCAAAAACTGCATGATTGAATAGTAATGGAAATCGGAATCAAATTGGGGAAATTTCCTTTTTAAATTAACTGGGTTATCGTCGATTTGTCTCCTTCCTCAACCGACCCCCGCCAAACAAAAGGGCACTCCGGTCACCGATTCAACCAAAGGCCTTTCTTTTGGTCTCCGACGCCCGAGGCCCTTCCGATTTCCGGCTCACGAATTCCTTCCCTACAGATTGAAGCCCTTAATCTCGATTTATTAGAAAAAACGAGAGGAAAGTGCGGGGGGAAAAAAGGTTCCCTGGCCGGAGATGGCGGCGGCGAAGGAGGGAGACGAGGGAGTGAGCGGAAGAAGCGAAGAGGAAGGGGAAGGGGAAGAAGAAGAATAAGTTCTTCTAGGCGTAAGAAATTAGAATGGGGTAATGGTTGTCTATGGTCGAGAAAACTGCAGATTCTGGTGCACCTACTACGTGAACTTCATCTCCACCGTTCGATTCCCCAAATTTGATGAGAGTGCTCGATCTGCTTTGTGGGTACGCTGATCTCATCAACTTAATCCGTTTATTTAATTTTGGTAAATGATCTTTAAGATCCTCTACTTTAGTGATTTTAACAATTAAGCCCCTCTACTTTCTATTAAATAAGTTATAGCACTTTCAAGTATGAGACAATTATACTTTTCACAAACATTACCACTTCATTGAGTTCACCGTTAATCTAATGTTATTTGTGGTGTCGTGCGTATGCATGGGTGAGTCACCCCAGAGACCAAATCACCCTTCAACTAAATGGGATCATGTAGAACAATCATTTGCAGAAAAATATATACATAATGATGTGATTAATAACTTTTTTTCTAGTAAAAGAGCATGAAAGTGTTGAAACTAATTGGCACATTTAATAATTTCGGATAGTACATATACATTAATATTACTCTTTTTATTTTATTTTTATGTACAGATCTTTTAGATCATTCACTGATCATATTAGTGATAACAAATCTTATGTGGTGAGAATTGGCGGGAGATAATCCGCTTTACGACCTAGGACGGGAGCATTGGTGTCTGGGAAATTCATCTCCCCAAAATTGGTGATGACTCCGTTGTTACCAATTTCAATGGGATACCTAAGCAAGTGACCTGAAAGATCGTGATCGAAAGTCTTGCTCACATATTTCTCCCAATTATCCTCTGCAAGTTGATTCACCAATTGCGCGCACCTCACGCTCCCTGGATATTGAAACGACTTCTCAAGCACTCCTAGATGTTCATACCATAATGCTATTCGAAACCCATATATTTGGCCCGTTGGTGGTTGGTTACTCGTTGTTATATGTTGCGGCTGAAATGCTCCCATTGCAATCTCAGTGTCTCTACCGCCATCCATCGACCTTTGGTTGATGTTTGCTGACCCAATAATTATATACTCATCATCAACTACAAAAAGACAATATTGTCAGCCTCATTTCGTTCATAAAAATTGTGCAATTCACATATCTTAACATGATAATTATATGGTAAGCATGTATGTTCTATAAGAGATGATAAAAGAATGCAAGGAGGATAAACATTTACCAATCATCATCTTTGCATGGACATAAATCATGAATCGACGAGAAAGTTGAGCTTTGGCATAATCAGAATCGGGCTCTGGAGTCTCTTGAGGCACGTACTCGCCGCTCTTCTTAGTCTCCCTATTTCCAAGGCAAAAGAACGACAAGTATTCTCTAGGACTCGTGTTCAGCCCTTTCCTTCTAAGAGCTTCAGAAATGTCAGAATACATCATCTCCATCGTTCTCCTTTGCCAATCCAATATCGCTTGAACAGATTCGCTCTCCGGAATCCCTTCTGGCCACATTGGGATCACAACATACACCGCAAATCTCTCACCTGCTTCGATCTTACTCACAATCTTCAATGACAATTCCTTAGGTATGAGATGTAAAGCAGTAATGTCCTCCACTTTAATATCCCCACTTTGCTTCCACCCGAAAGAGCTCCCAAGAAAATACTGGTTCTCGATGTATATGAAATTCTTGGCCCTTCGAATGGCGTGAATGTACCCGTCCTGAATGCTTCTGTCAACGACGTTGTCTTTCCCACTAATAAGCCCAACAGTTGCAGCCTCCTCCGGCTTTTCAGGAAACCCTAAAACCGCTCCACCGTCTATGGACCGAAAGATCTGAACGTTCCATGCCTCTGGATCGTTAGACTGCAACACTGGCAATGGACGCGAGATCAACCCTTCTAGTTTCTCTTGTGGGATCAACAAATTTTTGTTATTAATATCTGAAACTTGTTTCCGCCACCTTTGTTCAAAGTTATAAAGAACATCCCATGCAACCGGACCTTCTAGCTTGCAATGAACGTCATGCCATGGTTCTCGTGGACCTCCTTTCGTAATCGACGCTCCTGGAAAGTTTGGTTGGTGGAAATCCTCATGATGAACAGTGTCTAACGTCTTGAACAATGGATGATCTTGTGTATCATATCTACCATCGCACAAATCGATTCCTCCAATGAAGCTCACAATCCTTCTTTTCGAAGACTCTCCAGTACCTCCCCCCACTCCTGATGGCATGCTAGCATCCACAACCACTGTCTTCTGATGATGTGTGAACATAGCTGAGATTGCAAACCCTTGAATTATACTCCTTCCATCATCAGGATTGCGAGGACACAATATGCATTTCACCTTTGTGTCTCTAAAATAGGCTTCAGTCTCTTGATCGTGGGTTGCCATTAACCCATCCCTTTTAAACTCTGAAACTGAAGTTCTATCATCCCAGACCAACATGAGAACAGTCACACCTTGGCCCGCTTTCATCTTTAGGAGCTCACCTAGCTTCATATCACCTCCAGGTTTCGGCCGATTCGGGTCCCTCACTAGAGTGATCTCGGTGTAAACCGACCATCCGGTTATGTAAATGAGGTGCCTCGCATTGCTTATGGCTTCAAAGATATCCTCCCAACATCTATTCGCCTGCAATAACTTTCTATCTGGTCCCAAATGAACATTTGGAATGAAGTTGTCGTGGACGTGAGCATCCTGGTACAAGGTTACTTGGCACCCATGCCTTTGGTTGAAGAAAGCGTAGGGGATGCCTTCGTACTTGGGGTTTTTTATTCCTTGCGACCAGTTAGAATCATAGGCAATGTTGAAGAACTGAATTTTGACGTGGACTCGAGGGTTTCCAGGAAGGGGGGCTTTGTCGTAATCGTCGTCGAGGATGGGGACCCATTTGTCGACGATGTATCCTTTGATGATGTCTTCCACAGGGATGTAAGCTCTTCCGATCAGTGTGGCTCCAACTGGGTCTTCGTCTTTGATGGTGAAGATGATGTGGTTGATTGTGTGAGCGCAATAGATCCAAAAGGATTCATACCATCTAGGGTTGGAAGGCTCTTTGGTGAGGATTCTAGTTCTTCCAACTCTTGCCTTGTCCAAATCGACTGTAGCATATAATCTCGATCCACCAATCTGTTACCATAATGACATTAGAAATAAAAATAATAATTATCTACTATAATTATATGAGTAAAAAGTTATATTAATGTTTTCCTAGTCGATGAACTCTATTGTCGAATTAAATTGACGTGTGCCTTAATGGTACCATAGCACTCTCCATTTAAAATCCAAAATTTTATAGAAATATAAAGAGTAAGTACCTCTGGTCGGCAAAATAATACGCGTTTGAATTTGGATAAAAACTTTCTTCCGATCTTTTGCGGCCCATCACACTGAAACATATACAATAGAATTAAGTAGAACAGCATTAATCATCAACAAAACCTAATTTAATTTATGGTGACATAACATTTTTCAATTATTTTTATGAATTGATTAACTATATAATAAAGGATAGAATAATTTGACTGGGAGTACCAATGAAGACAAATTAACTTGTTCTGATATGTGATTGAAATGAACATGTGTTGTAATTTTTTTTTCCTTGAGAAGAAATATGACTAACAATTTGTAAAGCAATTAGGAAGAGAAGACATGATTGATGAAGTCTACATGTACATGTACATGTGTATAAGATTCATTACGAAATATACATAAAAGAAAACAGAATTAACAATGATGTCATGAAGCTTCATTTTTTCTTGATCATATGGAGCTAAAATCTTGACCATGTGGAGCAAGTAGGTTAAGAATTTAATATGAATATATCATTAACTTCAAGAGAAGTATAAATTTACTCATTTTTAGAGATTTGACATCAGAATGGGCAAAAAACATTAATGCATGCCTATCAAACTTATTTCATTGCATTATCTTTCTTATCTAATTTCCATACAAAATCATTGTTATTGGACGCCCAATAATATTGGAATTTTGATATGAAGTACTTTGATAATTTAGGGGTAAAGAACCAAAAAGTTTTTTTTTCTTTCAAAAGTTCATAATATGACCACTCCACACTAGAACAATACACCATTCTTTTTTAAACCCATACATTCTATAATTCATATTTGCCAAACACTCGAGCTACTAACAATGATTTAAAATAAGCCATGTTAACCAATTTACTCAAAGTGAAGAACATGTCTATACGAAAATAAATCTCGACATTGCAATATACAAATCTCGACAAAGATGATTTCAGTTTTTGTACATTACTCTATAACGTGGCTATTCCATTCCATCTCTTAGGAAGAAGAAATAATCGAGCCAAAAATACTTAATAGCATGACAATATATTTATACAAATGTAAACCTTGGACGTATGCAACGAAACCAATCAAGTCAAATCTAGTACACGAATCAATTCGATCTATAAATAATATCATTATGGTAAAAACTGCAACGTCAAAGGAATCAGTATCACAAAGCATTTAGGAGGAGATCAGAAGCATTGATGCCATAAAATCAAACTTCATACACAATTAAATAAGAAGTATATTTCTATATGGTACAATGGTAACCATAAAGTAGGATTCACCTTAGAGAACATGTCAAGGCCACATCCATTGTTGAGGCTATCGATCTCATATATGGTAACAGCCAGGGTCCCATGCAACAGACGTCCCACCATCGATGGAGGTTGTTAGAAATCGAACAGAAAAATTAGGATGGATGTGGAGAGAGTTAAGTTTTAGGGTTCAGGGAGAGGAATGGAACCATTCATGTTATATATATATATATATAGACACATTATGGGAGTAAGGATATGCATGGAAGACACGAAAGGGGGAGAAGAAAAGAGAAAGAGAGGTATATTCTGAAGGGTTTCTTGGATTAGGAGTGGCATAATGAGGTTGAAGAAGAGGGCAAGAAAGCACTACTCCATCATCATTACCTAGCTGCTTGCTTCTTGGTTTTAAGGTGGCAAAGAATAATGGTTTGTTTGCCCCCATGTGATACTGTGGCCTGTGGATAATGATTTAGGCCCAATGGAAGATTCTCCAACGGCCTAATCAGTTTTGGTG